TACTTTTCAATAGTTTGATACAGTTTTATTTTGCGCATCCGATTTATGGTATTCACACACCATCCATCACCAAATGGAGAGTCAATCGTGTTTCTCGTCTCAATGTCCACTTCAGCGAATATCTGAAATCTTATCTGAAAAAAAGTCACACAAATTTATTTAATTCGAATCAAATACATGGTGATTTTCTTTAATTCAAAGTCATCTGGGAACAAAAATTTGGCACACCTCGAAATTTAATTAAAATTAAAATTGCGATATTCGAATGAGTATATTTGGTTACGGAACTCAAAAGTGCTAGCACACCGACAAAGCGATATAAGTAACCGAGGTCATAAAAAGTAGCTTAATGCCACTTCTTTAACTCTTCGCTTCAAGATTTGATCCAACGCCTGAGAGCTTGCCTGAGAGTCAAAAGCACACAACTCAGCGTAAAATATCGAATTTTATTTAAAAATGTATAATCAAATATGCCATCAAATTACTGCATCGGTCTATTGACTTAAATTAAAGGAATGTACATTATCGACACATTAATTCCATCAATGTTTAAGTGGAAACTGATTAAATTTGATCGAATAAATACTTAAAAACCGATTTGTTTATCCTAATCTAATGACCAAAGATGTTTGAAATGAAAACACTTACTGCGGATCTGTTGGCGCTCATTGTCTCTAAGTGTTGTAAAAAATTGGGTAAAATTATTGTTATAACTACTTAAAATCTTTCTAAATAATCAAAAATACGACTGATCAGCACAAAGTCTGATAGAAATTAAATTCATTCTCTTCGATATAGAACTGTCATCATTAAAAACACTTTTATAAATACAATTGAAGGGATAGACTTTCATTGCGTATGAAGTAACCTTGTACTTGAAAGAATCGAATCTATAAATAAAGCCAAACATGTATTGTAGTGAGAGCGCGTTTATATTCTTATCACTATCGATCAGTTCTTTATGTCATCAAATTGGCGCTACTTTATGCACCATACAAATCATTCAGGTATTTACTGTTCATTCAGAAGTTCAATCGATTTTGAAGTTGATTTAAAAATAGAATATCGCTCAGAAGATAATAAAACTCAATTTCATGTGTAAATGAATGCAATCTGCTTTCAGCCGCTAGTTCGTCATTACCTAGGGGCTTAATTCAAAATTTTCAACGACTGAATTCTATAATAATATCTAAATTAACTGAATTTTTCTGCAAACGAATGAATTCCGGTGAATTCTACGGCGATTTCACTCAAATATGTGAGATAGTGGTGAATAGTTTCTGCTGGCAATTACTGCAATATTTATATTTTGTGTAACAAAATTGTAAATGTATTTTATATTTGTTTAATAAAAATTAATTTCATTTTCAATTTTGAGCGATTTTCTATCGAAAACAATCGGAAATATTGAAAAAATAATAAATAAAAAAATATTGCGGTTATCATAACCTCACTTTATTAATTTGACACATTTCATTCTATTCACACGAATTCACCGAACTCATCAATAACCACTCGATTCAAAAGTGTGAATTTACGTGAATTCCTGTGAATTTTTTTGCCGTATTAAGCCCCTAGGTCATTACTATAAAATTTTCAGTGCCAAAAAAGTATATGTGTGTATTATATTCAAATCTTTTTTGCTGTTTACATTTGACTTGAAAAAAAATCGTAGCAGTGGATTGCACACCTAAAGCATCATTTAGTCGAAAGTGATCGGTTTTTCATCTTTCGTATCTTTTAAGTCATTCGAATATTAACAGGCAAAGCACCCACACGACGAAACAATCTGTAGGTCTGTTCAAATGCTGCTCGATGACGTTGGTGATAAAACGCATGTTCGGCATGTGTTAGTTAATTGCGACAGTTGGCATATCACAATGGCATGCAAACGTAATCAAGCAGTAGGTTTTTTAGCTTTACTTTAGTTTGAGACACAAAATTCGTCTCCACGTTTACCACATTTTTGGGTATTTCTATTTCAATATTTATTTATTTTACGTATGTAAAAAACAGAGTTTTTACTGAATACACAATGTGACTAAGGTAGCTCCTTCAATCTTCCTCGTGTTTCTTCGTCTATTGCTTCTGCTATTTCCTCTTCTTCTTCGATTTTTTTCCATCGCTTGCATCGATTGGTGACCACAGTTAAAAGGACTACTTCCAACCGTAACAGCTAAACCTGCAGCTTTTTTACCAACGTCGATCTTACTGTCAACCGTTTTCGACACACTGTTTGCTAAAGCAGTCGTTGTTATGCCAACAAAATTACGAGATTCTTTGGGAAACGCACAACAACAAAGAGGAAAACATCCGATCGCACAACCTGCGCCAAGAACATCTCCACCTACGTTAGGCCCATTGACACCCAATTTTTTCACACTTTTTCCCAATTTGATTCCGGATTTACTAACCTTCTTTAGCACCATTTTTCATAGCCTTGCTCACTTTCCGTACCTTTCTTATAACACAACAAGAAGAAATGTGTGACACTGTAGGTACTATAAATAGTTTAATTGCTCCGTAAATATTTACCATCACTGCCATTTGCATTTGCGCATAGAACTGGGAGCTGCGAAATAAGATGAAAGTTCAAATAAAATCCCAATGTCGAATTTTGAAAATTACCTCCAAAGTTATAGCTAAAATGAAAAACAGACCTAAATTCGCTTTCAAAATAAGTAAATTTTTCCATTGTATAAAAATTATGACAATTTTTTTATAAAACCGAATTTAATATACGTAAAACGGGCTTTTGAGATCTTTTTAATTGTAATTTTTTTTTTATTTATTCGATTTATTAAAACAAACAAGTGGGATTGACTTATTTAATACAAGTTATCATCATAAGTAAGCAGAATGTACAAGAAAGAAAAAAAAATGGTGTTAACTGATGAAAAGTTATCTCATTGTTTATTCTTTTTAGCGAATGGTTTCTTCAACGATCCAAACAGTCTCCCAATGCACGAAGGTTTTTTCAATTCGACTCCCATAATATCTTCCACCCAAATGATGCGTTGTTTGTTGTATAACCGCAGAGTTCTTTTCACTTCTACAAGTTTTCCAAAAAACAGCGATTGCTTTTGAGTTATTTGACTTGTAATTGGTTCAGCTTTACCAAAAGCGTCCATTAAAACGGCGCGGTCAGTTGTTTCAAGGGTACTAAGAAGCAATTCCTTGGCTCTAGCGATATGTTCACTAAGAATTTCTCTTAATTGCTCTGCGTCTTTCAGTTCTTTTTTGAAATTTTCGATGAATTCTTCATTTTCCAATTCCATGTGATCAATTGAATTTTTGATTCCTTCTAGATGCTGCATGTCAATCGGCTTCTTTTTCCATTTCTTGAACTGGCCATCAAAATCTTTGTCAAGTCGATGCGGTGAATCGATATCAATCTGCGCACAAAGATTACTATATGTTTCCTTATTCAGTTTCTGTCCATCATTTATGCCAGAGATTCGATCCATCCAAAAACTAAAGCTCATTGTTTTATTGATTTGTGCTTTGGACCACACTTTATTTGCTGTTTTGTTATCCATGAATGGCTCCACAATGGATTGGAATTCACTTCGAATCGTTTCAGTGATGTTTGATATTTTGAGCAGAAAATCCAATTTTGAATCAATATTACAATGCTGATGGGCCGCTTTTTCATAAAAATGTTTTACGAATGTGTCATATGTCACGTGTTTACAATTGAAGAGCTTGAAAAAGTGAAGAAAATCATTTGAAAGAATGTTTTACTTTGTCTAAATTCATTCGAACCTGAACGAATAACATCAGCAGAAATATTATTGAAAACAATTTCATTTCCACACACTTGAATGTAAACCAACGAACCTTGAGTGAATGATTGCAATATATCGACAGTTCGACTTGAACGAAAGGCAAAATTTACAAGTTCGAAAGAATTTTTGTTGATTTTGTACATATTTTGGAGGAAAAGAGAGAATTTGTCGACTTCAGTAATAAATTATCTGTATTTGGCGTCACTGTTTCGTGAACAGATGTTTGAATTTTAATGGGAGGTATTTGGCC